GACTAATTTAAGTTAAGTTCCTAGAAGCGTCACAAAATAATTTTAGGAAAGGCAAATCTGTAGATACAGCATCTTGTCACTTATTGGAATATGTCTGTGGATGCCTAGATAATGGGAACTGTCAAAAGCATTTGACACGAATAATAAAAATGTATTAAAACAAAAATAAGAATACATGGGTATCCGAGATAATACTTTATATTGGATGATTTCTTACATGAGTAACAGATTAATGAGGTAGGCTAGTCATTATAGCTTTTTTTCGGGAAAAAAATACTATTAGAAGTTTCTCTGCGGAATATTGTTCAGAAACGTGTTATAAACAAAATATCAAAAAATCAACTCGAGACTAGTTGGGAAACTTTGTTAAAACAATGGTCAAAATTATGGAAAAGTAGTTTTTCGACTGGCGTAAAAAAACTGTTATTCATAGAGAAAAAAAGGTTTATACAAAAAAGGTAGGTATTAAATAAATCTGTAAAATAAGACAAGTCCGATTAAATTCCGATAATTTGTTTATGCGCAAGAGCTCAAAAATGGTCGAAATTGTCCGCTTTTTTCAATTGCTAATAATTAATGCAATTTTCATCGCAGACACTTGTAATTCAGGATTTTTGAAGCTTTTTGCACCCTTAATAAGTGGTAAAAATTTCAGCCCAAAAACTTCATTAGCTTGGCGTTGGCGGAATTTGTTATCTAAGAAGATGCTATTTTCAATTCATTTTTCCCAAGCTCACAGGCGTTGTAGGGTTTCGATCATTAGTTGTTTTTGTACCTAAATAGTTGTATTGACATATGCATTTACTGATAATTTAATTTTTCAAATTTAATTTGTTTAAAAATGACTGAAAAAATGTTAATATTTATTAAATTGTTAAGCGCGCATGCTCCGCCTCGCTCTCCCCACTCGTTCGCTAGACCAAGTAATAGAACGCATCGCCGCTATCTTCTTTTTCGCAATTAAATAGTTGAATTCACCTTAATGTTAATGTAGGACATGAAAATATAGCTCTTAATGTATACTCTCTCCAAATTTCGGCTCTTAATATTAATAATTAAGGTCACTGCGATTAAATAAATAAAAAAAATTATCTCAGCTTCTAATCAACTTACAACAACGATTTTTTTTTTAAATTCGAAGAAAACTAAAGTAAAGAGGTTACTATTTTATTTTATAATAATTACCTATCTTAACAATTTAATAAATATTAACATTTTTTCAGTCATTTTTAAACAAATTAAATTTGAAAAATTAAATTCTCAGTAAATGCATATGTCAATACAACTATTTAGGTACAAAAACAACTAATGATCGAAACCCTACAACGCCTGTGAGCTTGGGAAAAATGAATTGAAAATAGCATCTTCTTAGATAACAAATTCCGCCAACGCCAAACTAATGAAGCTTTCGGGCTGAAATTTTTATCACTTATTAAGGGTGTAAAAAGCCTCAAAAATCCTGAATTACAAGTGTCTGCGATGAAAATTGCACTAATTATTAGCAATTGAAAAAAACAGCCATTTTCGACCATTTTTGAGCTCTTGCGCATGAACAAATTATCCGAATTTAATCGGACTTGTCTCATTTTAAAGGTTTATTTAATACCTACCTTTTTTGTATAAACCTCTTTTCGCTATGAATAATAGTTTTTTTACGCTAGTTAAAAACCACTTTTCCATAACTTTGACCATTGTTTAAATAAAGTTTCCCAACTAGTCTCGAGTTGATTTTTTGATATTTTATTTATAACACATTTCCGAACAATATTCCGCAGAAAAACTTCTAATAGTATTTTTTTCCCGAAACAGGCTGCTCCATGTCTATAATGACTGGACTAAGGGTTAAATTAGGAGAATCGGTATCAGAACTACATCTGTTAAATCTAGGACTTCCACAGGGGTCATTGCTAAGTCCTTTATTATTTCTGCTTTATGTTAATGATCTACTTGATTATATTACGAGCGGCCATGTAACTATGTTTGCATTTAATATTACAGGGTGTCCCAAAAATAACATAGGATTTAAATTGTGCACCATTTTCATTTCGAAGAATTGACAGTATTGTACAGGGCCACATGTTGTAGTAAACACATTGCGGTTAGACGGATGAGTTATTCGACAGATGAGCGAATGAAGATTGTGAAGAACTGACCAATCACCCCACCAGCATAAAATTCACACCACTGTCACTCTTGGGGTATACAGTGCTCGTTGTTTCAATGACCCGAGGATTGTCTTTGCTTCAAATTCGTGTTTTGCTTGTTCACACTTATTGATTCTCCAACCTTCAATAAACGAATGTTGGGCGCATTAAATGGTCGTCTGGTTTCAATTTCTGAGTTAGCTGAGTCTCGTATGGATGCAGATACAGGTTTATTTGTTAAAATCCGCTGCATAGTGTTTTTTGAAATGTTTACTTCCAGTAACCGGTGGCGCACTGAGGTTACGGAAATTTCTGCCACATTATCACTCACCGTGGCAATATTTCTCGCTAAAAAGCTAGTACGAGACCGGTCTGCGAACCTGTTCAAATTTGGTAACTAATCTCTTCACAATTGTTTTATTCGGGGCGTTGCATTTCTTCTACCGAAAAATTCACATAATTTGCGCACAGTTTCAGCTGCACATTATCTGTACTTGTAATGAATTTTCACAATCTTCACTCGCTCATCCATCGTATAGCGCATCATTTTGTTTCAGAACAACGTGTTTACTACAGGATGTGACCGTGCACAATGCTGCTAACTCTTCGGAACGAAAATGGCGCACAATTCAAATCCTGCGTTACTTTTCGGATACCCTTTACAATCACTGTTTCTGCCAGTACCCCCGAGAAGCTTTGGAAGAAGATTTTGAATGTAATTAAGGAATCCAGTGCCTGATGAGGTAGTAACAAATTTATGCTAAATAAATATTAAACCTTTGATAATAAATTTCGACATATTATAAAGACTACTTCATTATTCATGACAAATTTACACTCTCAACAACTGTCAAGCTTCTAGGTACATACTTTGATTCTATTCTGGTTTATGATGTTCACATTGACTACGAGTGTAAGCAAGTTAATAAGGCATATTTCGCATTATTGTAACTAAACAGATTTCTTGATGAAAATTTTAAGTTGAACGCATAGTAAACTTTATTTATCAGGAAAAAAACTCCTCACGTTGCTGTACATAAATCTATTATATTTGCTATGAAAAATTAATTTTTTTAGGACTTGATCCTGCTACTAATCATTAGTCAAAAGTATGGAAACCTCCAAATATCTCAGCGGGAAAGCATTTTTGGGATATGAGGACAAAAGTCTCAGCATTTTTCAAGGCGCAGCCGATGGTAACCTTGACCTTAAGGTCATATCAAGATCAAGTCGGTTTCTTTAAATGGCGACCCTCCTTTGCGACCCCAGAAATGGAAAGAGTAGAAAATTCTGCATCCGAATATGATATTAACCGTGACCTCAAGGTCAAGGGCAAATGTTTATTTTTACTGTAATTTTTTATTTTTAACTACGGAATCAGAGGGAGTGACAGTCTTAGAGTGGATACCTTGAGGTCACAAAAAAATTGTGAGTGCCTTCTATTCCATCGTGGAAAATAACAGCCGGAATAATCATTTAACCTCTACCTGACCTTGAACATTGACCTTAAGGTCACGTTTAACATTATAATAATATGTAGAATTCTTCGCTCTCTTGTTTTTAGCGTCGAAATAAGGATTCGCTAATAAAAAACCGATATGACCTTGACATGTTTCAACCTTAGCTCAAGGTCAAGGTCACTAAGGAGTACCAGCAAGTATCTACTCGAGACTGTCACTACCTCTACTTTCCCGCTGAGATATTTGGGGTTTCCCTACTTTTGACTAAGCCTGTATAACTCCATGCATGGACATTTATTATTAAGCATACCTAAAGATCATAACGAAGATTTTAACGCTCTGCGTATTACAACGACATTGCCGCCGGGCAATATAAAAAATTGCTAGTAAATTTAAAAATAAAGTAAAAGAATTTTTATTGGATATATTTTAAATTAGAAAATAATATTAGGTGATTAAAACAGGATTGTAGATAATAGGTACACACATACATTTAGTATTTTTGTGTTAGAAATTTAAGTTATCCAATTAGTTTAGTCCCTTATTAATGTAAATATGTTAACTCTCTCTCGTTGTATATGTGTATTTACAAAATTACATATCAATGTATCCAAGAGGGTGAAAAATAAAATGAATTAATAAAAGAGATAAATAAGTCAATAACGATCGTCTCCAAACTTGAAAGCAACGACTATTGAAACACTTTTTGCTTTACTTTATATTAAGTTAATTCAAATAATAACTATCGAAAATCGCCCTGTTTTCGTAATAAATTTTGACTTTTAACATATTTTTTCTTCGATTGTACCTCTTCAATTACCTGTATCGGCGACACTGCTTTTCAGAAAGAAACCGTTTGCACATTATTCTTAACGCAGAGTTGATGTTTACTCGTGTACAAATTTTGACATTTTTATCTTTAGCCGATTTAAAGATAATTAAGGAAAACCGTTTGGAAAGTAACAACTTCAACACACTGTATCTCGAAAACAGGGCTTCTAAGAAAAAAACTTTACATGAACTACCCCTATTATTTTTCCATGAGGAACTTGCACACAAGTTTTTTTTAAAACATGAATGGGACACCCAGTATATGATAATATTTTTACCTAATCAACCACTGTCCTCTTTATCAGAATATTCTCTTTTTTAAATATATTTTATTACTATCTCTCACATTTTTACTTTTAAACTAATTCAAATAAAAAATATATACGGAAATATTAATAACAATTACATAAGAGAAAATTTGAAACGTATGAACACCACAACGATAAACCATTATTGATTACATACGCATATAGCTTTACGCCTATCTTCAAGAAATGAACTAGAAAATAAATAAATATATCACATGAATAAAACAAAACCTAACTATGACTTTATTGTATTCTAGGTGAATTTTTGGGTGACATAGCCATACCCTTGAGCGAACAGTCGCCGAATCCAAAAGCAAAGAAATCGGCGCTCCAAGAGGAGGTAGAAAAATATAAGCAGGAAGTCCTCGAAGGATTGCAGATAGAAGAAGAGGGTCTGACGGATTACATTCGTAAGAAAACTAAGCAACCCGTCCCTATATCGAATTACAACGATCCGTTTGATAGTTTATCGGTAGATCCGACGCACAAAAATGGACAAATTTTAAAACCGACTTACTCGGGATCGAGCACAAAATATATAAAGACTGAAATTAAAAACGAGAGTCACAGTCCTGAAGAACATTCAACTAGTAATTATACGGATAATGTTGATGTTGGTAAAAAACCTGGTCAACACAAAAATGGGGAAAATCCGCACAAGAGGAAGAAGAGGCATCAGAATAAACGTCGAAGGCGGTAAGACATAATTATTATACATGGTGTCCGTAAGCTATAATCTGCTAATAATGGTACAAGTTCCTGTACTGTGTCGAAAACTTGATATTAAAGAAGCTCATAACCTCAAAGTTCTTTTTCAAAATTAACACCTTGCCAAATTTGTTGCACATTTTATTGGTTACAAAATGCATCTACTAGAAAAACATAACCAATATAGCCTTTATTAATGAGAACATTGATCATAACTTTTTCGAATGTGATTTTTTCAAAAGAATAAAGCAATATTAACAATTTTGCAAATGGTCTTCTAGTTAAGTCGATAACTTTAACCGTTTCCAAAGAAAAAACGCATAGAACATGAAGCAGAATCTGAACATAGAAGAAAATTATGTTCTAAACAATTATAAACATTAAAATCCGTCAAAAATATTTAATTACATTAATTAGTTTATAAAAATTATGAAATTTAAAAAACGCAGTGCAAAATATCTCAGAACCTTAAGTAAATGTGATCTTTTCTGGAACCAGTCAATTTTGGAACAAGTTTAGTGAGATTTTTTAATGATCGTAAATATTAGGTTGTTAATTTTTTTAAAGAAACCACTGCAAAAAATCACTGAATTAATTAAATTAATTTTGAGTGAAAGGGTCATAGGAATGTACGCTTTTATTATTAGAAGTACCTCTTAAATCCGGACCCCCTCCCCTATATATTGACTAATATTAAACATACAGGATGTCCCCAGATTATGTTAAATTAAAGGTATTTTGAACTATATTTTTATTTCTGAGAAATTAAGTAGACTGTGGCAGAAACAATAGTAGGTTAAGACAAAGAGCAATAGCAAACATAAATATATGTTTTTTAAATTTCGTATTTAAAATAAAAATGATCAATATTTTATTAATTTTATAATTCAAATATCTTTATTTTATCTTCAAGTCCGACACATAAAGTCCTGAAACTGTCGTAATAAAACGACGAAACGTCAGCAAAATATAGCAGTGTTTTTTTGTTACGCTTCTTGAAAAAATACTGTTATACCTCTGAAAAGAAAATGAAAAACAATAACAAAATTAGAAAAAGTGCCATTTTCGGGTATCGAATATGGACAACTCTGTTAGAAAATCTTATTAATAAATTATAGACCACTTGTCAAGGTTAGAGACATTTTTATTTTTTTGCAGAATTTTGTAAATATATACTTACTGAGTTGAAAAATTATATCTCCTTTGGAATATTTTGCATAAATCTCAATTCTGAACTTATTTTTCCCCATTCTTTAATCTAGAATTTCTTATAAAATGTAAAAATAAAAAAAAAAATCAAAGTAGCAAAGAAAATATTTATTTTGTTTCTGTCGAGACTACTTAACGTTTCAAAGAAAAATATATTAAAAAGTACCTTTTAATCAATCAGAAAAATTTGTTCGTATCGTTAAAATAGTCTAGAGACACACTGTATATGACAAGAGAGGTTCGTATAATAATATCAACATTTTCTGAAAATTCATGTACATGATTGTTTAAAGAAAATGGATTAAGAAGTTAGTAAATCGTCGAAGTTAAATTACCGTAACCTACTCATATAATCAAATTATTTTTGTTACCGTACATTAAGAACCATTTTTGATTAGTCATACAAAATATTTTCTTTATCTAATATAGAAGTAGCAGTAGATTGAAAATTGATGAGATTCAAACCCAGGTATTTATAGAACAATACATCATTTTAGGCAAAAAAAATCCAGTAGGCCTAATGTTCCGCACGAGTCTCCCATTCACGAATTCGAGCCAAATTTTGATCTCAAACGGAAGAATACGGTACCGTACGACAGGAACCACAACAGCCACAGCAGAGTAACCAGAGCTGCTACTGCTAGGAAGGAAAGGGTGTGGGACTATGGAGTAATTCCTTACGAAATAGACGGAAATTTTAGTGGAATGCACAAAGCTCTTTTCAAACAAGCAATGAGACACTGGGAAAATTTTACATGCGTTAAATTTGTAGAGAGAAATCGAGATGAACATCAGAACTACATTATTTTCACGGAAAGGCCTTGTGGGTAAATACAAAATTTTGAATGCATCGCAAATTCATAAATTTTTCCTATCATTTTACAAATTAAAAGTTTACTTTTGTTATATATCTAGCTATGGTCTTTATTAGAATATTATTGTACCTATTAAAAAGGGCGATTAGTTATAATTTTATTTTATCAGAATATGAATCTGCTGCATCACAGAAATGAATTTACATTTATGCACCTATTACTTAATAATATGGTACAATGAGAAATAAAAATGATAAAGAAATTAAACATTGTTTTAGATGTTGCTCCTTTGTTGGAAAAAGGGGAAATGGTGGTCAAGCAATTAGCATTGGGAAGAACTGCGACAAATTTGGAATTGTTGTTCATGAACTGGGACATGTAGTTGGATTTTGGCATGAACACACTAGGCCTGACAGGGACAAACACGTCAACATTATCAGGGAAAACATAATGAGTGGTAAGGAGAAGTATAAGTAAAATATTAAAAATATTTTGTTTCACTGAATTTCATAAAATAATGGCCAAATATTCTTGACAAAGCCAATGGACAGTGAAAAAAGGTCCATAATTTTATATATACACTGTATAAGAATATACGTTCAAATCCATAGTCAAATGATTTTAAATTCTTTGCTTGGGTCGTTAGTTACGAGAGTTGAGTATTTGGGGGTGTTCTGGTCTATTTAATCTTCATTTCAATCTTCATTCATACTCGCTTATCCTGGTGACTGCAGTAAAAAATTGAAATCCATTTTTCTCTGGAACCCAACAAGAATACATTTTTAAAGTAAGTAACGTTGCGTTTAAAAAAACGTGATTTCGCAAAATCTCTACCAGTAAAGAGAAATAATTATGTCAACAACAAACATTGTTTTAGGAGTTACTTTATCTTTTAGGTTCATATTCATATTTGGCTAGGATAAAAACGTCCCTACTTCAAATTTTATTGGAAAGTTGTTAAAGGCAATGATGTTCTCTTAAAAAACATTTTGACACAACTATTTTTTCTTTTTTTTTTTGATCGATAATTTTTTACGGAAACAAACATTGTACTAAGGTAACTTAAAGTATAGGTCATTCGCTTCCGGACACGTTGTATAGTGTGTAACGAATAATATATACATGTTCAACCCATATTTATACGTAAGTATGAAGGATTCCAAAAATATTTATCTATGCTCTTACTACCCTGTTTTAATTTTATTAAATTTGCTAAAGTCGAAAAAAAAATATTATAAAAGTAGGTAATACAATAAATGTGTCCCAAAAAATTGTAGAAAAGCCTTAATTTAAGCATTCCGCTAGCATTAGAGTGAAATATATAAATTTTGATGAAAAATCATTTATCACTCAATATATGTACCTATACAAGTTATATAAATTGTCAAAATTGTAGCAATTTTTCTTTACAATCTCATAAGATTGTTATGAATTTAAAATTTTATATTAATAGTTAGTAAAGTGTCTAAAATTAGAATATTAGGTACGTCGAAACATTTAGCAAACATGGTAAAATAGTTAAATAAACTGAAAATTATTTTTGTCATGGCATATACCTACTTCAAAAAAGTAAATAAATCATTTTACAATAGCTAGTGTAAAACGTGAGATCTAGGTCAATTTCTGCCAAAATTTAAGAATCTCGCATCTCGAAAACAATAAAGCGAAAAAGATATACCGCCCTGTATATATTTACACCACGTATCTTCAAAATCACATAACAACTCTGAAAATCGCCGAAAACGCCACAGCCATCCCAATTGCACATCATTATTTCACTCTAACAAGTAATTGTTATAGATTTTATCTTTTTTGTTATTGAGAACTATATAATTATTACCGCCTCTGCACACAGAATTAACCTCTATTCTATGTGCCTTGTAAAACTTAAGTTTTCACGCTAAGTTCAGTTATGGCTCACTTAAACATCGACAGGGTCTTACGAAAATAGTCAAAATATAAATATTCACCATTTTCCTCCCCATTGTCACTGTCTTAACAGTGGAATGCCCAGACCAGTTCTATTTGACGCAGAAAGGTTATGTAAATTACACGACGACACCAAAATCGCACATTTATTACATTTTTTACCCCCTATACACTGTTAGATTATATCTATTTTTTCTAATATCTAGTCTTACACTATCTATTAGGTAAATATTTTCACTGTTGATAGAGGATATCAGACAGATGGCTTCCGTGACTTATTTGGCATACTCGACTTCTTTTAAGAAAATTCTGTATCACACTTTCGCATACTTGCGGCTGAATTTCATTGATAACTTTCCGAATTTCTGTCTTTAATCCAGGTATCGCATTCATTTAAGCAGGATAAACTTTGAACTTTACGAAACCCCACTGGAAAAATTCGCAGGCGTAAGATCGCATGGTCTTGGTAGTCAAGTCACTTCACTGTTCATTAAATTTCTGCCCTAACAAGTGGATAATTTCATGTACCGTATGGCAGACCTGCTACCTGCAGCAAGCATCCTGCTGGAATCGCATATCATTCAAATCTGTGCGAATGAGACCAAAAAAAGTTTAGTAGCATCTATCCATATCGTTCTCCATTGACAGTTACTGTATTTCCAGCTGCATTTTCAAAAACGGACCAAACATCGTCACTAAAGGTGATTTTCTTAGCAAAATCACCGTCCACTTGTTGATTCTCCAATCAACGAATGTCCGGCGCACTAAAGGGTCGTCTGGTTTCAATTCGTAGGTTAAGTGAATGCAGATTTCTAGTTAAAATCCGCTGCATTATACTTTTTGAAATTATTTGCAGTGTGTAATATCACACATCGTAGCAATATTTTTGGCTGAACGGCCTGTTTTTTTTTATTGTCTGCAACAGAATCTGTTTGTTTCAACTAATCTCTTCACAATTATTTCATTCAGGGCGTTGCTTCTACTAAAAATTCCACGTAATTCGTGCACAGTCTCAGCTACACACTCTCCGTACTTGTTATAAATTTTCTAATATTTTCACCGTTTTATCATTTGGGGCGTTTTTACACCGTAAAATAGTTTTACAATGAAATTGTACAGTTTATTTGTAAAATTACAATCAAAAAGAGAATTAAAATAACTAGGGGTAAATAAATTGACATATTTTTTCGGTGAAGATATATAGTAGGTACATCGCAAAATTTTTACAATTATGATAGACGATAGATGATAGATGATTAGTTGCTTGATGTGATTTTAATTTATTATTGGAATTAATTTTTTAAATCATGTTTATTTATTTTTTACGATGTTTTGATATATTTTTTATCTATAAATAAATCGTAAGGTTATGAAATCCCTCCATAAATTTTACTTGAACATATAAGATCTTTTCTCATTATTTTAATGAATTTTTGTTAGCACCCGTAAATAAAGGACATAAATATAATGTATTGGATTATTTGATAACCTTACGTGACCTAAAAGATCTACAGGAAAATTTGTATTATTTATCAAATACGTTGTTAATTTATTAATACTCATTTCTTCTACAAAAGGAAACGACTTCAATACATTTTCTTGGTCATTTTGCAATCAATATTGTTATTTAATATTGACTTTACCGTACCGTAAACTCTGGAAATTCATAATCTCGCATCTAATATTAATTATAATTCGGTAACGGATTTTGGGACTGTTTGCCTACTTCCGTATGCTTAAGAGGATTATATAAACTAGAACTCCTATAATTTAAATTACTTTTAGTCCGTCATAATGAAATTGCATTTGTAGGACTTTTATTCGTTTGCATACATGCATTATTGAATTATGTAAAGTAATTTAAATGATCTACTTACGGCTGCATATACGAGTATACTCCGTCATTAAAAGCAAATAAAGCATTATAGTTCCACAAGAACGCGCATTAATTACTGACTGCATGCCACCCGTAATTCGCCTCGTGTATAATTATGTAACATTTTAACATTTTTTGATGTTTGAAATAAAAATATAAAGAAAAATAAATTTATTAATGTGTGCAAAACATCCGTGGGCCGCATTTTAAATTATATGTCCAAGATTTTGAGCTGCAATAAATTACAGGTTTGCTGAAAAATATAATCTTATATAATGGGTATAAAATTACTCTAAAATATTATAATGTAGTGTTAATTTTAATACGTGAATAAACCTGTGAGTTGAGCTCCATAATTTATTTCTGAAATGTACGAGGTCTGTTCAGAAAATAACCGAACTTCATTTTTCGAAGCTTTATTATTAATTTTATATACTATTCACACACTTTTCCCAGCGGTTCTTTAAAGTCAAATTTGCTTTCATATCATCAATAGTTTGACAACGGCGTCCTTTCAGTACTAATTTTAATTTCGAGAATAAGAAAGAATCACAAGGAGCAAAGGTTGGTGAATAAGGAGGTTGAGGGAAGATATTAAACTGATTTTTGGCACAAAACTGACGTATTGACAAAGCTGAGTGCGGGCGCATTGTCATGGTGCAAGAACCATGAATTGTCTCGTCACAACTGTGGTCTTTTTTTGCAGACTTTTTTACGTAATCGCTGTAAAACGCTTTAATAGTACACACGGTTCACTGTTTCACCATGAGGCAAGAATTCAAAATTCACAATTCTATTAAAATCAAAGAAAACAGGGAGAAATACTTTAACATTAGATAGAGACGGACGTGCTTTCTTGGGGCTGGAAATCGTTTGCCAATCCATTGTGATGATTGAACTTTTGTCTCAATGTCGTAACCGTAAACCCAGCTTTTGTTTCCCGTTACGATCCTTTGAATAAATGTTTCATCGTCATTGAATTGTTCAAGAAGTTGCTGAAAAACGTCCACACGATTTTCTTTCTATTGTTCGGTCATCAAACGAAGAACAGATTTTGCTGCACCTCGATGCATGTTCAATTTTTAGTCAAAATTGCATGGCATGACGCAATTGAGATAATAAGACTAACCTCTTCTGCAATTTCTCTAGCGATTTGCACGTACCAGATCTTTGATTTTTTGAACGTGGTAGAGATCAGTTAAAGTCGAAGGTCTTCCTGGTGGAGGATCATCTTCAATTGACTGAAGACACATGTAAATCGAGAAAACCATTCGCAACATTGCGTGCGACACAGAGCATCTTCCTGATAAGCTTGTTTCAAAAGTTGAAACGTTTCTGTGAAAGTTTTCCCCAGTTTCACACAAACTTATACGTTGCATCGTTGTTCGAGAAAATTGCTTATTTAAAAAATCGTCACTAATACTTGCACGTTGCATTTAAATAATAATATCACAAAAACTAAATGAGATCAACAATCCAAGAACATGAAGTTACAGTGGAGGTTATGCGCAACGCAATGCTGCCAACTACATATCACTAAATGTCTCCATTAGCGCGTAGTTCAAAAAGTTAGGTTATTTTCTGAATTCATATCTAAGAAATGTCCCTATTTATCCGTTATGGTTGAGAAATGTTTAGCTGTATATAACATTTTAGAATTGATCTTTTATAAAGCCTTATTTAATGTTTCAAATAACTATTATACTTGTTACGCGGAGTGGAACGGCAATGTTCTTGTAGTCGAAATAAACAAAAGATCAAGAATGACATTCTGTAGTAAACTAATTTCTAAAGATTCTGCGACTCTACCTCTATTTGAATCAAAATCTTCTATCAATTATTCCAGAACAGTTGATTCAGGGTAGTAGTAAAATATAATTAGTGTAATTAGAGTGAGGTGATTGTATAAAAAATAGGGGGTGTTTTGTCACTGAATACTATTTTAAATGAGAGAATGCGAACGAACAAGCAATTTGGCTAATAACTCCTTAGGTACATAAATTTGTATTGGATTTTAAAACTTTGTATTCGAATCATAGGACTTTGTTATCAATTTGTGACGTACTAGACTATGGACATATTATTATAGGAAACTTATTCTTTATGTAACTTTTCTCTTTCTCTCTCTTACTAAATAAAAGAATAGTAGAATGAGATTTTTGTTGATCTTCCTATTAACAGGTGGCGCAATTAAGGCGTAGTCTAATATGTTACAGCAGTCTGACAAAATAGTTTTACTGCTACCTTTTTTATTTAATAATGTTTTTTTGCAAAAGTAAAGAAATATAAGTCAAGATTTTTTAATGATATACCTGGCTAGATTTATTGAAACTGAAACATCTATTATCTAATTTAACTGGATTAAATTGTTGAGACATAAGAACAAACCCATCCAGGACTTGTAATGACTATTTCTCTAATATCATGATTTTTTGGCTTTTATTATACAGGGTGGTCCCGAGGTAATGAGCCAAAATTCATAGGTAGATTCCCGAAGCAAAAATATTGCAATTTAACCGAACTTACCTTAGTACAAAAGTTGATAGTTAAAGAGATATAGGGTGTTAAATGTAAAATATTATTTTAGTTTATTTCCATTTATTTCATAATAAATACAAATATCTACACCAAATTTTGGGGTTTGGGGTTCTTTGGATAGAGGAATTGAAATTTGTTCACATTTTGGTTATAGTTCATAGAGGGCGCCAGCTGCCGTAGATTGAAGGTGTTGGAAACGACATAACTTTTTTGCACTTTAATGTATCTCATCTTTGGTATCAAATTCTTATTTTCCAACTTTTTTTACACAAAAAAGGTAGACTTTATGAAAGTAGCTGTCTCGCACCGTTTCCGAGATATTTGGCTTTGAAACTTCCAATGCTAATAGTTGAAATAATTAAAATAATTTAGAAATGTCAAAAACAAGGGTTTATTTAGAATTAAAAATTGTAATGAACAGTAAAATAGTAAACATTAGTAAAAAAATATGCCTTTTTGACAATAATTGCTTAAAATATCCACCTCTAACTTCAATACATTTATCAACACGTTTATTAAAAGATTGTCTTATTTTAAAGTATAAATCCTTAATGCGAAATGACTTTGCAGCATTTAAAACCTGCTACTAAAGTTCTTCTCAAGTGTTTATAGTTTCTCCATAAACAACTGATTTCATGTAACTCCAAAAACGAAAACCTCGGCATTCTATCTCACATTTATGTACGAGTATACAATTTAATTTGTAAGCTAAGATGTGATTTTAATTAGATACGAATAATACTTAATAGAAATTAGCATACAAATGACAGTAATAAGACAAGTGGAAGACGTCAATTATTTGATTTGCGTCCAAATCCTACTTAAGAAACTTTACCACTAAATTAATAATACCTGTAGGTACTTAATTGTAATTTAATGCAACAGCATTGGAAGTTTCAAAGCCAAATATCTCGAAAACGGTGCGAGATAGCTACTTTAATAAAGTATACCTTTTTTGTGTAAAAAAAGTTGGAAAATAAGAATTTGTAACCAAAGATGAGATACCTTAAAGCACAAAAAAGTTATGTCGTTTTTAACACATTCAATCTACTGCAGCTAGCGCCCTCTATGAACTTTAACCAAAATGTGAACAGATTTCAATTCCTCTACTCAAAGAACTCCAATCCCCAAAATTTTGTGAGGATATTTGCATTTGTTAAGGAATAAATTAAAAAAAACTGAAATAATATTTTACATTTAACACCCTGTATCTCTTTAACGATCAACTTTTGGACTAAGGTAAGTTCGGCTAAATCGCAATATTTTTACTTGGAGAATCTACCCATGAATTTTGGCCCATTACCTAGGGACCACCCTGTATATGTAAAAAGCTTAAAAAAAATTTAATATAAAATAGCTGGGCAGGACAAATCATCTCCATATCTGTAGAAAAGAAATTATTTTACTTAAAACTATTCAAAGAGATATTTTATTCAAATTTTTGTTAAGTAGTAGTATGTACTACGTTGTATCAAGTTTGATGTTAATATAGAGAATTTTAAAAAATCTGGTCAATGTCGGACTCTTGAAATTAAAATTTCTGAACGGTAATGAGAAACTATATTCTTTTGTGGTCAATCGGAAAGGTTATTCCGGTATATTTTTTCTACTGTATTACATAGCATATTGGAACTACGTAAACCAGTGAAAAAATAAATAAACACATTTAAAGTAAGAGATAATACTCTTTCCTCAGTTTTTTTTTAATCAGAAGGAAAAATAATCAACTTTCGGAGAAAGTGTGACGAAAAAACTAAATGCGGAAGTTTTGCCACTGGTTTGTGTATTCATTATTTCATTGTTAATTTAGAAGAGGAAAATATGATAAAAAATCATTTGCATAACTTTTTCACTGGTTTGTGTGCATTCAATACGTTATATGATTAAGTAAAACACTATAGCTTTTAATATCTCTTAGTGGTACAAAGTGTTCACAAAAAATAAATTACTTTCCACAAATAGCTAAAAAATATGGCTAAAATATTCACAAAGATGAACCCAGACATTTTACACGGTCATTTTCCTCTTTTTGCTATTGTATGTGATGTGCATCCCAAAATTCAATTTTGGCTTGATTTGATTTTTTTGCTGTTTTTATTTGTTTTGTTTTTTTGTCATGTCTTGTATCGCTAATACTTGAATTTGAGTTGCAATTTTGGAAAACGACAATGTATCTTTCTAGTATATTTTGATTTTTGAATAACTAAATAGGTATTGTCAGAAATAAACAAATTATTTTCTATGTGAGTTGAGTTCCATTTTCGCATAATATATCAAAACATTTTATTTAAAAAAGTTATTATTAGTATTCACTATTAAAATTTTTAAACACGTGTAAAGTCAATTAGATATATTGATATTTTTTGATTTAATAAATTATTGAAATGTAAAATTGGATTGTCACAAAATTGCGACATTATTTGAATTTTATTTCTAAACTTTTGAATAGAAGTAGACGTAAACGCACTGTATAAAATTATTTGTTGAATTAAAATAGCGATTTGAATTTGTTTTTAAAACTATGTTTGAAAAATTTTCTCTGAACCTAGTTACCTACATCTCAAAGACCTGTTGTCCCTTTCCACGGCTATTTTGATACAAATACTGTCAATACATTTAGCAATTTGTTTTCTAAAGTTGATCATTCTCCTTTTTCTCATGTGGTTCCATCAGACTGTTGTATTAGTTGAATTTTGTATGGAAAAACAAATATTTTAAATAATTTATTTAACTTTTCATTCGTATATGTTCACTATTGCATATAAATGTATTTTCTTTATCTTAGGTCAGGAGTACAACTTCAACAAACTCAACGAAGAGGAAGTGAATTCGTTGGGTTTAATATACGACTACGACTCGATTATGCACTACGCCAGAAATACCTTTTCAAAAGGAACATATCTCGACACCATTCAGCCCATCGACGTGATCGGCAGAAGAAGGCCCGAAATTGGGCAAAGAATCCGGCTCAGTGAAGGAGATATAGCGCAAACGAATCTACTCTATAAGTGTCCCAGTAAGTCCCAAAATCATGCGAGGGGAATAAATTGAATTAAAGTAGTTGTTAGATGCATGCGGCCCGCATTAATATACTCGTGTGGTACTATAAGGTGTTATTTATGCGTTTGTCATCGTTATTGTCTTGAATAAAATATGGCTACTATTATTACCGTACTAGTATCACGTAAAGCCATGAATGGAATTAACCACGGCTCGTTTATGTAATTGTTGGACTTGTCCATAAAATTTAAGCACTATCCAACAGTATTTGCTATAAAATTTAATTACAGTGTCGATTATTGCCAGTTAGATTTTACCATTTTCCGGTTCAATAACTGTAAAAGCAAAGTTTAACTTCGTTATTTTTATATTCAGAAATTTGCGCTAATCCCATAATATTTCAATAGTAATAGTATATTTAACGTAGTTTCTTATTTATATGCGAATACATTTTCAAATGTTAACTTTGAATATTAATTTAGATTATTACTACTTGCTTATTAAAAAATAAGCACTGAAGATGATGACTAAATATTTTCTAACATTATGAATATAAAATTGCATCTAATTTCTTAAACCATACATCATACTTAGAAAAATGTTCTATAATATATTTTTCGTTTATGAAAATTGTGTTTGTGAGAGCTGTCCTGCTTTCTACCTTCTATATATCACCTGCTTTTTAGTCAAAATGTAATGTGCACCGTTGGACCTGAGAGAAAGTAAACTTACTTTCATGCAACATTATCCTCCATAAATCTACCAGATTATTTTTCAGATAAGGTTTATACTGTAATAAATCGAGCTGAAAATGTGTGACAATGTTTTCAGGGAAGTAATTCTTGTGTACATTGTACAAATTCTCAATTCAGTTGTTTGCATTCAGACTGCTTATGAAATGGAAATGTTTACAAATTTAGAATTATTCAGGTCCTAGTACTGCTTGATAGTATATTTAAAATAATGTATAATAAAACTACATACTATTTTAATCTCTTCAACTCGTAAATTCAAAACCGAATCTAAAGTGAAGTAAACTGTTAAAAACACAGGACGTTCTAGAAAATTTCCTTTTGAGTATTTGAAATCACTGTAACCGTTCAAAACTTTTGTGTCTTTAGAGTTTTTTTCGTGGATCGTTATAGTCCTATCATATCTATAATAATATTAAATTAGAAGTACTGTTAGTAAACAGCAAAAGTTATGTAAAGGGTGCCCAATTTTATTTAGAAATAATTTAGAAAATAGTAAGATTTTGCTATTTAAACTTATCTGTTACTAAATCTCAACCGTTTTTAAAATACAAATCCGCGTTTTTTTAAATTAGGTAATTAATTTAAGGCAACAATTCACAGAAATAGTCACTAAGTACTTTCAAATTTCGACGATTCTGTATATTTTGAAATATGGATAAATTGCGCCTCTTATAGAATTTTGATTAAATGAGCAGTACAAAAAAATATTTTTTAAATGTTTACATTATCTTGCCATCCATATTACAATATTTAACAAAGTGCTAGTAGTCACTAATTTTGTAAGTTGACAGTAATTTCAGTTTGATCTTTAAGACATTGTATCTGCTAATCCTTAATGAGTGTTTACTACCATAAATTATACCACATGCTACTTCATTTTTCGATATGGATACAGACATACGACGAATTAGAGTTATTTACAACGTGACTAATTTTATTGAAATAATTCATAAAAACCATCAAAGAGAATAAAAAATACTGGAGATAAAAGTAATAAAGTTGAGGTTATTAAATTTAGTACAACTTATTATAAAAACTGTTCAAAATGACCACCGTTGTTTCTACAACAAAGGTTAATTCGACGAAGAAAGTTAACACCTTTTGCAGTTCTTAAGGGCTATTTTTAAAAACATATATGGCATTTTGGACATGCCTCCACAACTCAGTTCAGTGTTAAATCATGCACTGTTGTTTTTAGAGTGCCTCAAAGATAATAGTGGCAAGGTGTCAAGTCTGGTGAACGTATAGGCCAGTTAACAGAAACATTATCCCGATCTATCTACCGATCCATCGACGAGGACATCTTTGGTTCAGATATTGCCGGACATTTACAGTGAAATGTGGTGGAGCGCCATCATTCACAAACCACATGTTAGCTCTGAGTAATAACGGCATTCTCCAATAACTCGGGTTTTGCAAAAAAATCCAAATAAAATTCCCCATTCAGGTATTGGGTAGAATAACAGGGCCAATAATAATGATATCCCAAACCAGATTAAACTGAAATTACAGTCAACCTACAAAATCACAATATGGGTGGCAAGATACATTTATATAGATATACAGGATGGGCCATTAGTGTGAGAAAGTACACTAACTCCCTTGATACTTATAATACAGAAAAAAAGTTTATATAAAAGTTATACAGAATCAAGAAACCTAAACTACAAAATTAATTTCAAACATACAGGGTGATGAGTAAAAAGGGGACACGCCAAACATTACATTTTTTAAATGGAACACCCTGTATATTTTTAAACAGTTGGATTTCTGAGAAAATTCTATATATGGCAATATAAACAGTTTATCATTTTAGTGCGGGGTTGCCAAGATGTGTAGAAAATTCTTAGAATTTTGGAAAAAACATGACCTCGAAGAAGTTGTATTAACTTTCAACTACTAACACTTGGAGCAAAAATATTTGACAGAGTTATAGGCAAATGTTATACAAAGGCTCCTTATATTAGCTAATATCGATATTTTATACAGGGCATTTTTTTATAAGACGATAATTTCTAGAAAGTTCAAACTTGATTTTCTAAAATTTTTCAAATGGAGCACCCTGTATTATATTGTTTTATTTTATTCGCATATCACTCCACTTCAACTTTTATTAAGCATGTTCTATACCTAAAATTGTTAGTTTTTAAGATGTGGCAACATTTCTGAAAATACTTAATTTTTATTCTTTTCGGTCGCACGAGATGGCTTTGGAAAAAACTGTCACATTGTGTCAACTTGTCTATACTATAAAATAATTTAATTATACTACATATTTGTGTATAAAAAAATCTTAATAGAACATAACATCATAGTTTATTTATTAAATGGAACTAAAATAACAAAATAGATACGAAAATAAATCAAATATTTAATTTTACAACAAGTGTTCAAAATGACGGCCGTCTTGGTTTAGACATAGCTTTACACGTCGTTCAAATGTGGTGTTAACATTATTCAGAATATCAATGTTGATATTTTGAAAAACTCGTCGAATTCGGTTTTTCATATCCTCTTTAGTAGTATCCCCACAGAAAATAGTCCATTTTTATCAGATCAGGCGACCTAGCGGGCCAACTAATTGGTCCACCTCTTCCAACCCACTTCTCTGGAAATTCATTGTTTAAGAATCTACGAACTTCCTGCGTGTGGTGTACAGGGGCTCCATCATGTAAATATCACATCCTCTGACGAATATTTAGCGGTATATTTTCTAATAAATTTTTCAAAGTATTTTGTAGAAAATGAAGATATAGTTGCCCTGTTAAATGTTCGTCGAAAAAATAAGGCCCAATAAGGTAATGTCCAGTAATCCCGCCCCAAACATTGAGTGACCACCTATGTGTCCTTATAAGCAACGGATTTTCAGAAGCACAATAATGAAAATTGTGTCTGTTCACGCTTCCATTTTTGTGAAACGTTGCCTCATCAGTAAAAAGCACACAAATAAAAAAAGCCTATCTTCATTCATTTTTCTCTGGGCCCAATTACAAAACTCCAAGCGACTTCCATAGTCGTGGTTATTCAATTCTTGGTAAACTATTTATATTGCCATATTTAGAATTTTCTCAGAAATCCAACTGTTTAAAAATATACAGGATGTTCCATTTAAAAATGTAATGTTTGGCGTGTCCCGTTTTTACTCATCGCCTTGTATATTTGAAATTAATTTTGTAGTTTAGGTTTCTTGACTCTGTACAACTTTTATATAAACTTTTTTTCTGTATTATAAGTAACAAGGGAGTCAGTGTACTTTCTCACACTAATGGCCCACCCTGTATATATATTTAAAAAATATTTTTTGTACCCAAACCATTCATTTAATCAAAATTCTACAAGAGGCCCAAAAACTTCCAAATACTATCAAATAAAATATAGTTGCCATTATTGCCTGAAAGAGGAAAAAGTTATGAACGGATATTATCACCATACATCAATTTTGTAGGAGTTGTAAGTTTTAGAAAACACTCTGTATAACACTAAAATGTGTAGATTGAAAGCAAAAATCCACACCCCCAAAAATAATTAAAATCGAATAATACATATTCGAGTTATTTACAAAATTAAAAATAATTTCACGAACTTTGAAGCCATCTAGCGGCCAAACGAAGCGACTTTGGATATAGGTGAATTAGTCTAAATCTGCCTATTTCGAGTCCACGAATCTGTGGTCTTTCGTTGTACATGTTATTCTAGGACACCCTGTATATTGTATCAATCGAAAGTTGACGCCAGTAAAACAAATATACTTAGAGTTATATTACTTTTATAATTTTATTAACTCGGTGTGTTTTTTAACGAACTTTTTTTTAACAATCGAAAAAATCAGACTAGATATTGAATGAACCTGTTTGGTTTTTAAAATTACAGTGGCGTCTAAATTCTACAGTTTTTAGTGACAAAGTTGTCAAATTTGTATAGGTAGCTACCAATTATGAAAATTTTTGCCTATCATTAACCCCAGTTTCATCTTTTTGCGTCAAGCTTTTTCAGAAAAATTTTAGAAAATGAAACATTTTTTTAGTTGTCGACACAACTCACAAACGGCTGAAATTTTTTTAGAAATAAAACTGAGACACCCCGTAGGTAGCCACTGCACACTGCAATGTGCAACTGCAAGGTTATAGTATAATGGTTTTTAAGTAATTGATTTAAAACTGTTTCTCCCATTCATTAAAAAAAAATTTGACGAAAGGAAGTTTGTTTAAACGTCGCTGTTATACCTGATGTGTTGCTGAAGTCATATATGATGGTTTGGCTATTACAATTTTCGTAATATACCTTGTCTGGATGCAAATTATGAAACAGAGAACATGATGACATTTGTCTATTGCAAAATATAAATAATTATTTTCTTCTATTATAAAAATGTATTAACAATATTCATGTATTTCGTTGTAAAGATTGGTAATAAATACGTTGAATATAAATCCTTTGTTTGTAGAATGTGGCCGGACGTACCAGGCCAATTCTGCGACATTTTCCGCCCCCATTTATACTGACAACGTCCCCGAAGACGGCATCAAATGCGAATGGAGAATTACCGCAACTCACGGAGAACGAATCGTCCTTAACATCACCAATTTGGATATAGAAAAATCGCAGGACTGCAAGACAGATTATATCGAAGTGAGAGATGGTTATTGGCACAAGTCCCAAATTCTCGGCCTGTTCTGTGGCACTGGACAGTTTCATCATATTGTTTCCAAGGAGAGTCGCATGCTCATTACGTACGTTGCCAAGAATCCTAAGGGACATAGAGGATTCACAGCCAGTTATGAAGGTAAGTGATGTAATGCGACGGGCCAAATTTCAGTTTTCAAACTTTAACGACTTCGGAACGAGAATACAGAAGTGGTGAGTTGTAGTAAGCATTTTATTACTATGTGTATCTCAATTGCACGGAGTTATAAAATGCTCAGATCTTTATTCAATTGCAAGCAATGCTTTATACAGTACGCGCCTAAAGTATGGAATAAATTCAGTAAAATCTAAACAATTTTTTTTGGGAAAAATCTTCGAACAGGACGATTTTTAATTTAAAAAATACATATTTTAGCATAAATGGCGATTTTCAACCGTCATTTGTTTTCGAGTAATGACGATGACGATTTTTTTTTAAATAGCAACCCCCAATTTTTTTTCTTGATTCTGAAAGATCGTTTCATTGTCGATCCGACAGTACTAAAATGTTAATTAAGTTTTCTACCTAAATTAAGTGTTCCAATTACCACCCACCGACTTCTTGATAATACGCAAGTCTGTGTAGAAATTCTTCTTGCACATTACGAATTATTTCTGGGGTAATTCTATGTATTTCATCTATAATACAATTTTGGAGTTCTTCTAAATTATGTGGTCTATTAACGTACACTTTGGACTTTAAGTAGCCCCATAAGAAATAGTCCAGGGGTGTAAGAACTGGGGATCTCGCGGACCATTCCATCGGTCCTCGTCTGCCGATCCACCTCCTAGGAAAACAATTGTCCAGAAAATCTCGAACAGAGCGCGCATAGTGCAGAGGTGCACCTTCTTGCTGAAACTATATGGTGTCATCAGGAATATCAGGGTCATTATCGTTAGGAAAAATTACTGCAAGCGCTGGAACAAGGTCATTTTGTAAAAACTCTAAATATCTTTCTCCTGTAACGGTTCTTTCAAAGAAGAAAGGTCGTACTATTCTGTTGTCAACTATTCCAGCCCACACATTTAATTTCTGTGGGTGTTGGGTATGTGTCTCTGCCATCCAATGAGGATTTTCCCTACTCTAATACCTGCAAGTTTGACGGTTCACTGTACCATTGAGACAAAACGTGGCCTCGTCTGAATAAACTATTTGCCGGTGTAAACCTCTATTTACTTGAGATAAATCCATCATAATTTCACACAAGTTGAATTTTGTAGGGATGATATTTTTCCTGCCTCAGGATACATAGGACTGCGGTCTGACTAATTTCATTGTTTAATGCAACCAATCGTGAAGTATTATGAGGATTATCTACCATACTTATCAAAATGTTCTGTTTGTGATCTTCACTAACGCTTGGACGTCCAGGTTTTGGAATATCTACAACATTGCCAGTTTCTCTAAATTTAGATTCTAT